TGAGAAGAGTGACTCGTACAAGCTCCTTAGTGAAAAACTTCGAGCAGATTTGACAGCGGCTCGAGAAGAGCATGAAAAGATGGTTGAAAAGGTATTCCGAATGTTCCATGATAGTGAAGATGAAAAAGATATAACCACTAATGATCTGATTCTGCAGGTTCGACAGAGGATCGAGCAGATTGGACGGCTTAACTCACAGGTAGATGTGCTACTGGCCGAGGCAGAAGAATTAAAAAAGTGTATGGAGATCCTTGCCTCGATAAAGGTATCCGTTCAAGCTCAGTTGGAGCTGTCTGATGCCCAACTTTGATCTGCAAAATAAAATGCTTTGGGGCTGATCGAAAAGATGAAAGAGCTTCAGCATCGGTTGGATTTGGCAACTTCAGAAAAAGCAGATTTGGCTAAAGAACTTGAAGTGGCCAGATCTGAGGTGATCGGGGCCAATAAAAGAGCTGATGCAAAATTGGCTTAGTTTAGGATCGATGTTGAGGTCAACCAAGACAAAGCTAAGAGCATGGTCGAACATGCAAAATGGCAAGCTCGGAAAGAAGGTCTCGAGGAGGTCAGAGCTCAAGGCTTCGATATTGGGGCCGAGATTGAAGTCGCCAGGGCGGAGGAGAACAAAGCTCGAAGGTTGGCCTTTCTTGAGGAGGACTTCGATGACTCAGGGGAGTCTGAAGATGAGGAAGATGCCGAGAACACGGCCTCTGATGAATATTGAATCATTTAGGGCCTTAGGTTGTTTGCTGCGTTCTTTTGATACCGCTTTTGGTTTTTGTATAAAGAGCTTCCTTTTGGCTGAGTTGCCGCCTTTGTACAAAAATTTGTAAATATAAATCTTTCTTCCTTTTGAAGCAAAATAGCCTTTTAAGCGAAATAAATAGTTTGAATTTTAATCTCTGCTGCCTTCGGGCCTTGTGGGTAGTCCCCTTTGTTTTATCGGGCTCGAACAACCTTCAGCCTTTAAATAGTCAAGTGTTCGTTTGAACTCGAAGTAATGAGTAATGTTACTCGAAGTAATATAGCCCGTAGGAATAATGGTCGAGTGAGTGCTTGCTCGAACTCGAAATAAAAGTAGCCCGTAAGCTTAGAAGTCGAGTGAATGATTCGAACTCGAAGTAATGTAGCCCGTAGGCGTAATGGTCGAGTGAGTGCTTGCTCGAACTCGAAATAAAAGTAGCCCGTA